CGGGGCCATTTTTGGTAGAAGTTGTTATGTTCGTTGTGTCATGAGTACGCTGGTGTAAGTGGCATTGGTCTGTGTATTTTCTTTTGGTTTTGGGATCGCAGATGTAGCGTGTTATGTGGGATGCTCGGAGATGTACTCCGTAGTTATCCTGGGATGGCCTTCTGTTTTGTCGAGGCTGGATTTCGTAGACGAAATCCCTTTAAGGTGGGTAGATTATTAAGACCGTGTATTCTTTCTACTTTTATGATTTTACATCATTCTTTTTATTATTTTTTATATTTTATATCTTATATTTATTATTTTATTTATTTATTTGATTTATTCTTTTTTTGCGTTGCCTTAGGGTTTTGTTACGCCCGATGTAGGTTTCGATACTCGGAAACGATTTCCGGCATCACGTGCATCGCATTATTTTATCTTTTACAGTCCGTGCATGACTTAATTTCGTAGAAAAGCATGCTCGTTTTATTTTATTTTCCAGGGGTATGGATGCATGGTTTCTTCGGAAACATTTTTTTGTTTTTCGGGGTGCTTTATGTAATTATATATTTGAGATATTTTGCCTTATGGACTTTTGTGCAATTGTTGCACTGAGATATAATGGAGGGACTAAGTTGTAATTTGGGAAAAGAGTGACAAGTGGCACTCTCCTATTAGCCCATTTGTTGACTTACCATTGGATACACTTGAAAGCCTAGATTGGTGACAAGTGTAAGCTTGAGATCAAACCTTGTGAGGAGGCCTAGATGGGTGACAACTGGAGAGTGGATGTGTGTGTGTGAGAGAAGTAGTGTTGGTATGGTGTGTTTGGCCAATAAAAGGGTTTTAAGTTAGTGGGATTTCATGTGATTGCATCTTCTTCACAAAGCCACCATTGTTGAACCACAAAACCCTTGCTGCCATTTCTCAATTTCAAACCCTCTCCCATAGGAATTTGGTGTTCCACTTTGAAGATCAAATCTTCCTCTCTTCCATATCTAGAATACCTTTTTACTGTTTTTCATTTTGACCTTGTTTGCCTCGGATTCTAGAGGGACAATCCTCTAGTGGGCAGTTTGAGAAAAACCAGAAACCCTTGACTCCATTTCTAAAATTCAAACCCCTTACCTTAGGAATTTGATCTTTCACCTTGAAGATAAAATCTTCCACTCTTCTTTATCTAGAACACCTTTTTATAGTTTTTCAATTTGAGTTCATTTGCCTTGGATTCTGGAGGAACAATCCTCTAGTGAGGTAGAGGTTGTCCTATGTTTATCCTCTTGTTGTTTCTTGTTTCATTTGTTATTAATATACATTGTATGAATGTAATATGATGTTCTAGGGTTATATTAGATTAATATTAATTATATCTAACCTAGGGTGTCATTTTTATACAAGCTTGATATGTGATTATTCTCTTATATTGTTGTTGTTTTACTTTGTAAATAATGAAATTCTAGTGTAACTTCTTGTTGTTACTATATTGTTCTAAAATTATTATTGCCATTATGCGTGATATGATAATTGACCATGTCATTGTTAAGTTAGGGATTTAATGAATAATATGTTAGTATGACTAAAACTCCTATGTTGATTACCTTGTTTCATTTAGTGATGATTTGAAATCACATGATTTGTTAGTGTAACTTTAGGGATTTTATTAAATTATTGTCAATGATTTAATTGTGTAATTAACACTATGTTGTTGTTAAATTCATGGAATTGGAACTCATTTCATATTAGCTTGAATTGATTTCATATATTGATAATGTTGTAGTGACTTGAATTGATATTTATTGTGGACTTGACATTATGTATGCCATCATAGCTTGAGGACTTAGGGCATATCTTGTGTGTAGTTACAAAATTGGATGCGTATGAAAGTTGATTACTTGCATTGTTCACATTACTTGGTAGTTGTAACTACTTGATTTGATTTTGGAAATACTTGGGGCAAAGAAACTTTGATATGGCTAGGGTTTGGCCCTAGTACAGGAGGTATGAGTTCTCCCTATAATATAGTGCGCACTTAGGTAGTTCTTTGATGGTTAATGCCTGAAACAACTTGTTGTCTTGCGTTGTAAGTTCACAACCAGATGTTGTTTCCAAGTTTTCCATATTGTTTTATTTCGTGTTCATTTTATAAGTTGACATTACTTTTGAAGTTGTAGCTTGTTATTTCATTGGAGGTTTCAATATTGTTGTACATTTTACCTTTGTGGATTTCTTTCAAATTATTTCAAATATAGCTTAGGATGCTTCCTTAGCTTCCCTTTGAAACTTAGACGTTAGGAGGCATGATCCACATGAATTCGATTTATATTACGCTTATAAAGAATCGTTGGAACTTTAGGGTATGCGAATATGTTTTTCCTACGAGTAATGCAAGTTACTCACCCTAGTTGATTAGGTTCTTTTTAGGTAAAGAAGTCCTTTTTATGGATGGACACATTTCTTAGACTTTATGTAGCTTAGAGTGGTTGGACGCTTTTGGATTTTGTATGCATGCACTTATTTAGCATGCTTCCTTTGATATACTTTGTAAGCCATGGATGCATGGCATTTAGAGGCTTGATTAGCTTCATTTGATATGTGTATTTTATACTTGAGAAACTTTTTTGATGTTAACATATCATATATGTAATGAGGCCAAGGGCCAATCTCTTTTGACAAACGGAATGTATGATGAAATTTCAGCATATTTCATTTTCATGTTCTATTTTATCTTGGGGGCAATTTGGGTATTTCATGTTGCTTTTTAAATTAAGTTTGGACCATAGTTGATTGCAGAACCCATTTTTTTTTTTTTTTTTGGGGGTGGGGTTGTTTCACAAACCTTTTCCAAAAGAAATCATTTCAAACCTTTTCCAAAAGAAATCGTTTTTGCTTCAAAAAATAGAAATTTTTTAGAAATTCACGATCGCAGCCAGACTAGCTGCGATGGATCGTAGCTGTTCTTTTTGGTCACTTTTCATCCTTCGTGGGTTCTGCGATCAATCGCATTGGGAGCATCTCATTTTTTAGAAATTCAAGTTTGGCTACTGCTTATCGATCGTGGATTTGGCAATCGATCACAGTTATTCACCCTTTGTAAATTTTTTGTAAAACTTCGAGTTTCCATATCTTTTTCATCCGAACTCCGAATTAAGCGATTCTTGAGTTTAAATTTATTAATTTTTTGTTGTCTATCCAATGGTATGCACGGAAGTATCCATTTCAGTATGAAAAGACTATTTTACCCCTAGGGTGTTATTTAGTTCATTTTTTATTCTAGCTTTCGCTTTCGTTCTCTTTTGAGTTCTATGACTTCATGGGAAGTCACTTTGATGTCTTAGGGGCGATAATCATCTCTAGAGACTTCGTTCCTTTATTCGCTAATGCATTTGGGATCCGTTATAGGGTTAGTTTCGGTTCACTCGCTGATGCACCGGGTTTTGTAAAACTTGGGTCGTCACATACTCCATGCTCCTAATTGATGATTTCATCAAGATAACTTGGGTTTACTTTCTAAAAGAGAAGTTTAAAGGCATTACACACTTCATCAAGATTGTAAATCTTGTTGAAAATGAAAGATGATATACTATTAAGAAGCTTAGATCAAATTTTGGGACTGAATTCATAATGAGGGAATTTGAAAGCTTCTGTGATATGAAAGGTATCAAGAAGGAATTCTTAGTTATAGCTACACCTCAACAGAATAGAGTTGTGGAGAAAAATAATAGAATAGTTCAAGAAATGGGGAGAACACTACTTCTTGAGAAGCGTTTGGCTAAAGGATTTTGGGCTGAAGCTATGAATGCAGCTGTATATATCATCAACAGAGTGCTCTTTAGGCCTAATTTAACTAAAACTCCATTTGAAGTTTGGCATGGAAGACCTGCAATAATCCAATACTTCAAAATGTTTGGAAGCATTGTTACATTCTCAATCACATTAATAGTTTAGGAAAGTTTGATTCAAAGTCTGATGAGGGTATTTTTCTGGGATACTCAACCAAGAGCAAAGCCAATAGATGCTATAACCTCTGAACCTCCAAGATGGTTGAGTCTATACATGTAAGGTTTGATAAAAGTCCTCAATCTGTTGTTACATATGACTGGAGTCCACTTGTAGGGTCCAATGAGGCAAGTTCCTTACATTTAGTACATGTTTAGCCCAAAGAAAATGCTCATCCCATTCTACATAAGCAGGTTCACCCTGAGAATATAATTAGAAACCCTAAGGAAGACGTTAAAACCAGAGCTAAAAAGAAACTTAGTGAACTAGCTATTGAAGATGATGAAGAATATAGCCACTTTGGCATGTTATCCTTCATTGAACCAAAAACCTATAATGTGGCTAAGAATGATGAAGATTGGATAGCTGCTATGAAGGAAGAACTTGATCAAATTCATAAGAATGACACTTGGACACTTGTTCCAAAACCTGATGACAAAAATGGGATTGGTTCCAAGTGACTCTTCAGAAACAAGATGAATGGTCTGTAATCAGAAATAAGCCTAGATTGGTTTGTAAATAGTATACTTAACAAGTTGGAATTGATTATGATGAGACCTTTGCACCAATGGCCAGAATGAAGTCAATAAGAATGCTTTTGTCTTTTACCTGTCACAAACAGGTTATGGTTTACTAAATGGATGTCAAATCAGCATTTTTTTTTTTTTTTTTTCATAATTGGGTTTGTATAAAAGAAAGAAAAAGTATTTACAGGCGCACAGAGGGCATTCCCTCAGAATGAAACAGAAATGGAAAAACCTATTTCAGAAAAAGAAATGAAATGTAAACAAATAATGCTAAATAATGTCCCCCTTAGGGACATTATAAACATCAAGAACTTCATATAAAATTTGTGGAGCCACCTCAGAGGTGGACCTAGAACTGTGGTAATGAAGTCTTCAATTTCGCTCTTGCCAAATACCCCAAAGCCCAGCAACTAGCATAGTGTGAACCATTTTGCTACTCTGCTGCAAAAACCAAGTCAACAAATCATCCATTGAGTTCAAAACAGTAAAATCAGTCCTCTAATCAAGAGTGTCTGCCAACCATTTCCAGAAATTCCTTGCAAATAGACATTGAACAAACAAATGATTTCTGGTATCAATCCCTTGTAAACAAAGAGAACATCTTGGAGCCAACTGCACCTTTCTTATCTGCAAATTATACATAGACGATAGTCTATCTTGGAACAGAAAGACACCATTAACTGACAACCTCGGTCTAGCTTTGCCCCAGCAAATTTTAGACCAATTAACCTCTGGATTTATGACCCTACAGCTTTCCCACACATTTTTGAATGTGAAATTTCCTCTATCCCAAAGTAACCTATCAGTTCTAGAGTGAATTGTCAATGTACACAAACAATCTCTAATAGGTTTAAAAATATCCTCCTCTAACAATTCAAAATTCCATCCACCATCAATCATTAGTTGCGACAATGATGAATTCCATGTGAAACCCAACCTTCTGACAATTCTATAGCCAAATTTCTGCAATAAAGTCGCCCCCTCACACCAAGGATCTGATATAGCTTTAAAGAACTGCCCATCACCAATTGAGAAATGAATTGCATTAAGCAAAGTTTCTCTAACATTAATCATGTTCTTCCACAAGATTGAATGTGAAATCTTAGGAATAGCATTCCAAAAATTAGAAGATGTTGTATACCTGTGATGAAACCAAGATATCCAAAGCCTATCCTTGCTTAATAGGAAATCCCAGGCCAAGACACACTGAGAAGTGACCTGCAGATCTTTCAATTTCCTGACACCCAAACCTCCCTCATCTTTGGGCCTGCACATCATATCCTAGCTCAAGAGATGAAATTTATTAATGTTTTCCCTGCTTCCCCAAACAAAATCTCTACACTTTTGAATTTGATTGATGATTGCTATAGGAAGTTGAAAAATGCTGCACCAGTAAAGACATATAGGAGTAATAACTGACTTGATCAGCTCAACTTTACCTGCAGTAGATAACAGCTTAGTACTCCAATAAGAGAGCTTTTTGGAGATTTTATCAATAAGAGCATTACAATGGAATTTTCTGAAACCAATAAAACTCAATGGTAACCCCAAATATTTGAAAGGAAAGACATCTTCCTTGCATTGAAGCATGTTCAAAATTGATCTCTTTCTTCTGGTAAACTTGGAAAAGATAACACTACTTTTCTGATAATTGATATGAAGACCAGCAGCATCCCCAAAAATCTTAAAAATATGTTTAAGTGTTCTAGCATTAGAAACTGAAGCTTTGCAAGTAATCAAAAGATCATCAGCAAAAAAAGTATGACAACATGTGGATTTTGCTTTCAAGGCAGTATTTGACAATGTAAGTCTCCCTTCTGAAATAGAAGTATTAATAAGCTGAGATAATTGATTAGCCACCAAAGTAAATAGCAGAGGTGAAAGGGGGCATCCTTGCCTTAATCCTTTTGAAGGTTGGATAAAACCAGTGGGAGATCCATTCACAAGAATTGAGTATCTAGTGGAATGTAAAAGGTTACTAATCCATTTGATCCAAATAGGATTGAAACCAGAAGTGATAAGAGTCTTCAAGAGGAAACTCCAAGAAACTGAATCAAATGCCTTAGTAATATCAATTTTTAAGGCCATGATAGGATGTTTGGATTTAAATTCACTAACCATTTCGTGTCCCATAATGATTGCATCTTAAATTTTCTGGCCTTTAATAAAGGCACTTTGTTCCAATCCCACCAAATTAGGAAGAACCAAAGCCAGTCTAGCAGCCAGAATTTTGGAGATAATTTTGTAACTGAGGTTGCATAAAGCAATAGGCCTGTAATCTTTAGGATTGACTGCATTTCCTACTTTAGGTATCAAAGTGAGGAAGGAACTGCTCACCCCAATTGGAATAGAACCCTCAATGAAAAAATATTTAACTGCTGCACTAACTTCAGGTTGGACAATAGACCAAAATGATTGATAAAACCTAGCTGGGAAGCCGTCTGGACCAGGGGCTTTATCTGGTTTGAAATTCATAACCACAGCTTTGATCTCTTCATCTGTTATAGGAGCATCTACAACCAATTTGTCATCAAGAGTTAAGATATGTCTTGGAGTAGCTTCAAATGCACAAGCAGTATTATTCTCTTGAAATAAGCCTTGATAATAATCCACAAACACCTTTCTTATCTCATATGTTTGAGTTTTTACCTGTCTAGTATGATCTTCCACAGATGTAATTGCATTGAATTGATTGTGCTGCTTTATCTTGGAATAAAAGAAGGTTGAACATCGATTATTATCTTTGAGCCAATGAATTCTGGACTTTTGAGCATATAGAAACTCTTGAGAAGATAAAGCATCATGGTACTCATCCTTAGCTTGGTTCTCCTTTGTAAACAAATCATTTGTAGGATTATCAAGGAGTGATAATTGAACATCTTCTAAGGCCTGTTTAGACTTGTGAACCCTCTCTTCAATATTCCCAAATGAATTCAAATTCCAAGCTTTGACAGCAGCCTTCACATTTATGAGTTTTTTGAGAAGTATATGAAAGGGAGTCCCAATGATAGGAACTTCCCAAGCTTTTTTAATCACCTCAAAAATACGCTCTTGTAAGCACTAAATTTTTAACATCTTGAAGGGCTTTGGACCACTTCCAAATTGTTTAAAAATATTGATGATTACTCCATAATGATCAGAGGATGAAGAAGCTGAATAAGAGATTTTGGTACCAGTAAACATCTGTAACCATGGGTCATTAGTAAACACCCTATCAAGCTTTGCCAAAATTCTTCTGTTGCTTCCTTGTCTATTGCACCAGGTCCAATCACCATTAGAGGCAAATATCTCAAATAAACCAGCCTTCTGCAAACAATCATTAAAATCATCAAGAAGCCTTTGAGGAACCTTTTTACTTCCTTTTTTGTCTGAATGAAATCTTGTAGCATTCCAGTCACCAACCACAAGCCAAGGGCCAATAACAATTGAGGCCTGAGAAATTAAGTGACTCCAAAGTTTTCTTCTACCTGTAATTGTATTAGAAGCGTAAACTGGAGTACAATAAACAACCTCCCCAGTCTGTAAAATATGGACTTTAAGAAGGAGACATTGATCCATCTCATTTATCATAGTCACTGAGAACATTACTGGATCCCAGCCAATCTAAAGTTTTCCTAAAACATGAGAATTATAATTGTGGATCCAACTCCATCTCCTATTAATATTTACTGTAATAGCATCAAAATTGGGTCTTCTCACCCTTGTTTCTTGAAGACAGGCAAAATGAGAGTCATTGGCTTTGATCCATTATCGAACCTCTCTTTGTCTCCTTGGCTTGTTTAAGCCCCTCATATTCCATGATGTGATCATTTAGTGGTGTGGAGTAGGGAAGCACCCCCTTAACTCCTAGTAACCATTGGTGAAATCCAAGATGCAGTAAATTTCTTTTTGGGCTTTTGCTCACTCTGTGTAACTTTTGGAGATAATCCATCTTTAGATTTATCAATGTCCTCACAAGAATGTTCTACACTTGGATCAGTCAGCACCACCTCTGGAATATTACCTTTGTTAGCTTGTCGTCTTGAGGGAATTTCAACCTGCAATATGGGGGTCTCTACTATCACAACATCTTGTTGTAATTCTTCTGAATTAACTTGCCCACTTGGAGTCTCTACAACCACTTCCTCTGATGTATTGTCTATTACATGCACAATAAGGGTCTCTTCTACCACAACCACTGATTGATCTGGAATAGGTGTCTCCGCAACCATTTCCTCTTCTGCATCATCTTGTTGTAATAATTGAAAAGTGTTTGAAGTTGGAAGGGAAATAATAGGTTGATGAACTATATTATCTCTTAGAGACGTTTCTTCAAGCACCACATCCACATCTTGAACCACCAGTTTTCCCTTCTGTTTCACTACCCATTTATCCACCAATTTTTTCTTCTTCGGCTTTGTCTGTAGAACTCTTTGAGGACAATGACCAGCAACATGATCAATTTTCTAACAGAGTGTACAAATTTGCGGCTTCCATTCGTATTCAAATTCAAGAACACAATCAACCCCATGAATATCCACCTCCATAGTATCAGGTAATTCTTCTTTGACATCTACTTCAACCATAACTCGAATATATCGACCTTTCTCCCTATTAATTTCTGTATCATCCATATAAATTGGCTTGGCAAACGATGAACAGATCAATGAAACAACTTGTGTTTTCCTGCAGTGCACTGGGAGATCATATATCTTCAACCAAATTGGCACCATTTCCAGCACTTCCTTCTTGAGATTAACATTCTTACTCCAATGTTTAAGGATTATAGGTCTTCCCTCAAATGTATGTATTCGTGACAAAACCTTTGTGACATCTGTATCATCTGTATCTCACTGAAGAAGTGTACATGGAGCAACCTGAAGGCTTTGAAGACTCACACAATCCTTCCTATGTGTGCAAGCTGAGTAAAGCCCTGTATAGTCTCAAATAAGCTCTAAGAGCCTGGTATGAGATGCTTTATAGCTTTCTAATTGAAGAAGGCTTTCACAGGTAAGGTGGATAGCATACTTTATGTCAGATCCTCTCCAGCTCGCTTCCTTATCCTTCAAATATATGTTGATGATATCATATTTTGTGGCTCCAACACTTCCTTGACCTTTGAATTTGCTAACCTTATGAAGACAAGGATTAAAATGTTAATGCTTAGCCCTCTTAGATATTTTCTACGTTTTCAAATCCATCAATCCTCCACTAGTATCTTCATTTCTCAAGAGAAGTATGCTACTGAGCTCCTTAAAAAGTTTAACATAGTTGATAGCAAGGTTATTTCTACACTATTGTGCCCTAACACCAAACTCACACTTGATTCTACCACATAATCAACTCTCGAAACTCATCTGTGGGGTGTGCCGGATGAGTTTCGAGAGTTCATCCCTAACAAATGCTCCAATCAACTCCCGGAACTCATTCGGCACACCCCACAGTGTTCGGCACGCAAAACAAGGCGAAAAAATAATAATCCGAAAAATAAAAAAATCCCCGAAATTGAAAAATAAGAAAAATCAGAAGCATCACAATCATAATGGAGCGCTAATATTAGCTCCCATTTAAAAGCAAGATAACATAAAACTAGTTCAATAATTATGATTTTGCTTTTATTTTTTGAATTGCAAAAATTTATAATTAAATTTATAATTTTTTTACTTCTAGTATATTTAAATTGGAAAAGTGATAAATTTCTCATTTATGCAAATAATATCATAAATTTGTCAGAATTATAAAATTTGAATGGGAACTCAAACAATTTGAATGGCTCCCGCAGCTATGACATGGTCATAAGCTGAATATAAAATAATCATATTATTCACACACGCAGATGTCTCGATAGTCCAGTAGGTTAGTGCCTCCGGTAAATTTTGGAGTGTCAGACTTCGACTCTATGCATCTACTAATTTAACTTCTAATACTTCTTGTATTGTGAAAAAAATAAATAAATATAAAAATGCTCACTCACATTCCTCATACCATTAATTTTTATCAAAACTTGTCCTTCATACAAATTCAGTGAACAAGCTGCCTTATATATATAATTTTAATCATATATTCAGGGTTAGATCCAATAGTAAATAGGGTTTGAGTCTCGATAGATGCATGAGTGTGTGAGTTTGTTTAACCTTCCAAAAAAAAAAAAAGGGGGGCCAAATAGCATTGTTTCCCAACCATGTAGATTTTACCAAACAAATATAGGTGTAAGTATCAATTTTCATAACAAAATCACAAAACGTCCCTTTTTAATTTATCAAAATTATTAATAAATAAAATATAAATATAAAATGACTATATCGTCTATACATACAAGACAACACCATTTAAACAACTGAAGCATACATGCATGTATTTCATAAAGAAAGCAAAAGAAAAGAACACTAAAGTGCTGTTTGATAAAACTAAAAATTATGCACTGAAAATCTTAAGTACTAAATTTTAAGCACTAAAATTTTAAGTACTGAATGTATTAATTTGAAAACCCGTTTGATAATATTTTACTTTTAAGTACTGAAATTATTAAGATTGTTTGTTATATAAAAAAGCTGAAGTTTGAAAATGTACATATTACATTATTGCCCTCAATATATGGTACTCATAACAATTTTATATTTATAATATAAAATATTAATAAAATAACCACATTAATTCACTCCTTGAAATATATCAATTTAACAATGAATAATAATGTCAAATAATCATAAAAAAAATAAAATTTTTATCTAGAAATAGAATTATATTATATAAATAATTGATGAAAATTTAAAATATATGAATTTTAAATTACATAACATTTATGTAGGATATCAAAAAAATGTGTTACAAAGATTAAAGAAAGTAAAATTTAAAATATACGGGTTTGGATTACATAATATTTGTTAAATTGTTATGTAAGATATCGAAAAAAGTGTTACAAAGATTAAAGAAAGTAAAATTTAAAATATATTGATTTTTTATTACATAATATTTATGTATGGTATTGAAAATAGTGTTACGAAGAAAGTACGTGAAAAAGAATTCTTATCCAAGAATAGAATTCTATTATATAAATAAGTGATAGAAAATTTAAAATATATGAACTTTGGATTATATGTAATATTTATGTACGGTACCGAAAAGGATGTTAAAAATATTAAATAAAGTAGATGAAAAAAAATTCTTATCTACAAATAGAATTCTATTATATAAATACTATTGTTAAATCAAAGTGAATAGGTAACTAAATACTGGTTTTAAATCAATTTGAATAGGTAACCAAAGAGACGTGTTTATAATCGTAGAATTATTATTATTATTATTATTATTATTATTATTTTGGGAATTTGGTAAAATTATATATTTTTAAAAGAATTGTTCTAAAAAAAAAAAAAAAAGTAACAACCAACCAAATATATATAGAAGAGTTTTTCAACGAGAGAACTCACTCTATTTCCAGATGCAGAGATAAACGGAAAAGATAATTTTAAAGAAATTGCAAAGAGAAGTCTAGAAGAGAGAGCATGATTATATAAGGGTAGAGTAATCATTAAAAAAATAGTTTTAAAACCTAATCACTTACTGTCTTCCGTGATAAGCAATAAGTAACTCTCTCCTTGCTTAAAATTTTAGCCTCTTTTCAGCTGTAATTACCATATTAAACGGTATCCTAAAATTTTAATCACTTACCGTCTTTAGCATTCAGCGCTGAAGTAGGAAATCAAACTGGCCCTAACTTCAATATGTATGAATATATATGATTACTACCATCTGTTTTTCTGTTTCGAACTCTAACACTATTATGACAAAGAGTTTCAACAATTAAAAAAACAAAGCTAAAATAATCCAACTATAACACAAGTAAACGAAGTAGGATGATTGGCACAAGAAGAATGCTAAAGAAACTTAAACAATATATACTGAGCAAAAAGGCAGAACCACAAATAAGTTTGCATTTTCTACACTAGCAACTATTTGTAGCATTCTATCATCCAAACATTGATGGATGGTCATCACCGCCTTTTGGTCCTGGTTATTGTAAATCAATTAAGGAGATATGGCGAAACCACCATGACTGATACAAGGGTCGTTGAAAAGATCCTTCGGTCGTTGGATTCCAAATTCAACTACATTGTTGTAGCCATTGAAGAGTCAAAGGATTTGGATTCCATGACTGTTGATCAACTCATGGGTTTGATGCAAGCTCATGAAGAAAAGGTGGTGAAAAAACAAGAAGCTTTGGAGCAAGTGCTACAAACAAAGTTTTCGTTAAACGAAAGAGCCGAAAAACATGGAGGAAATCAAAGGGGCCGAGGACATGGAAATGCACGTGGCCGAGGAAGAGGAAGAGGCCGTGGAAGCGGAGAAAGAAGCGGTCAACACGCAACCAACAATGAAGAAAAGGTCCATGACTCACAGCAAATAAGAGGTCGTGGTAGAGGCAATTACTCAAGGTCATATGGAAGGAGATATGATAAGTCTCAAATTCAATGTTACAATTGTCAAAAGTATGGTCATTATGCTTCATAATGTAGAAATGTTGCTAACGATGTTGAAGAAAAGGCTAATTTTGTTGATGAAGATGTGGAGCCAACTTTGTTGTTGGCATACAAAGGTGAAAGGAGTGATCAAGAAGATGTGTGGTATCTTGACACCGGTGCTAGCAACCATATGTATGGTAGCAAAGAGAAGTTCGTTGATATTGATGAATCAATAAATGGCAAGGTGACATTTGGAGACTTATCACAAATTCCGGTAAGAGGGAAAGGTAAAATATTGATTCATTTGAGGAATGGGCATCATCAATTTATCTCTAATGTTTATTATGTGCCTAATATGAAGAATAATATTTTGAGTTTGGGACAACTCTTAGAAAAAGGCTACAATATTTCTATGAAGGATTGTAGTCTTTCGATAAGAGACCCATTGGATAATTTGATTGCCAAGGTTCCAATGACAAAGAACCGGATGTTTTTGCTAAATATTCAAGCCGACGAGGCTAAATGTTTGAAAGCTTGTGTTAATGATTTAACTTGGCTTTGGCACTTGAGACTTGGGCACTTGAATTTTGGAGGATTAGAGTTATTGGCCAAAAAGAAGATGGTGAAGGGATTGCCTTTCATTAGCAATCCAAATCAATTATGTGAAGGATGTCTCGTTGGAAAGCAATCAAGGAAAAGTTTTCCTAAAGAAGCAACCACAAGAGCTACGGCGCCACTACAACTTATCCATTCGGATGTTTGTGGTCCAATTTCTCCATCATCATTTGGTAAGAATAATTATTTTTTATTATTCATTGATGATTTTAGCCGAAAAACATGGGTGTATTTTCTTAAACAAAAATCGGAGGTGTATGGAATTTTTAAGAAATTTAAAGCACTTATTGAAAAACAAAGTGGCTATGATGTAAAGGCTTTTCGATCCGATCGAGGTGGTGAATTCACATCAAATAATTTCAAAAAAAATTGTGAAGAAAATGGAATTCACCATCCTTTAACGGTTCCGAGATCGCCCTAACAAAATGGAGTTGCAGAAAGGAAGAACAGAACCATTCTCAATATGGCTCGAAGCATGTTGAAAAGTAAGGAAATGCCTAAAGAATTTTGGGCTGAAGCGGTTGATTATGTGGTATACTTGTCCAACCAGTATTCTACTAGAAGTGTGCAAAACAAAACACCACAAGAAACATGGAGTGGAAGAAAGCCAAGTGTCTCTCATTTGCGGGTTTTTGGGAGCATTGCCCATGTGCACATGCCGGATGAAAAGAGGACCAAGACAGACAACAAAAGTGAAAAAATGGTGTTCATTGGCTATGATGCAAGTTCCAAGGGCTACAAGTTGTACAATCCAAGTAATGGGAAGATTGTCATTAGTAGAGATGTTGAATTCGAAGAGGGAGCCACATGGGATTGGAACACTCCAAATGAAGATTATAATATTTTTCTAATTTCTGACGAGAAGCAAGAAAATGAAGGCATGGAGCAGCCCATTTCTCCACCAACATCACTTCCACCACCATCAATTCAAGATCAATCAACTCCATCATCATCAAGTTCAAGTGACACACCACCACTTCGCATGAGGAGTCTTCGTGACATATATGACGAAACAGATGAGGTAACGGAAAGGTTAGGTGATCTAACACTTTTTTGTCTCTTTGCGGATTGTGAACTCGTAGGATTTGAAGAGGCGGTACAAGACAAAAAATGGAGAAATGCTATGGATGAAGAAATTAAATCCATAGAGAAGAATGACACATGGGAGCTTGCTACACTTCCGAAAGAGCAAAAGGCAATTGGTATCAAATGGGTGTATAAAGGAAAGAAGAATGCAAATGGTGAAGTTGAAAAATGTAAAGCAAGATTGATTGCCAAGGGGTACAACCAAAAGCCCGGGATTGACTATGATGAGGTATTTGCACCCGTAGCTCGTTTAGAAACAATTAGAGTGTTAATTTTCGTTTACATTTATGCTCTGATACCACTTTGTTAGCTTTTGCTCTGATACTACTTGTAATTTGTATTTTGAAGTATTTGGTATACATAATGCATGTGTGAATTTCATATTAGTGGGGTAGTAAATGGTCTTGATGAAGAAGGTCTGGGAATTAAGTCTCCTAAATACTATGTTAGTGGGAGTTTGTATTTGTGTTAGTGGAAGATATGAGAGTTAAGTCTACTAAATACTATGTTAGTGGGATTAGTGGAAGTAATTGGGCATTGAAATGTAATTGGTTACATATGTCTTAGAGCCTTTATAAACTCATGTACTATGCCTATTTTATGAGAAGAGAAAAGTTGAATAAGTTGGGATTAATTGAAATAATATACTTCTTTATTCCATTTTTCTTCCAAATTATAGTGAATTGTATTTATTTGTCTAGCCCACTTATTTCCAACAAAGCGGTATCAAAGTAAAGTAAGAAAGTGGTATCAGAGCAAAAGCCAACAATATATACTGAGCAAAAAGGCAGAACCACAAATAAGTTTGACCGAGTACAAATAAATCGGATGCATGAAGTTGAACAAATAAATTTCTCTTTCAAACCTACCATTTTAGAGAACAATGAAAAACATAGCTAGCAAGCCAACTACAAAGCAACAGTACAACTAGACAAAAGATCAGCATTGAAGAACAAGGAAATAAAACCGAGAACATGAAGCTATCAAACTGACAACCGAATGAATATTAAACTGGCAAATCTCAAGTTGATAGAAGGAACCATCTACAATCCTACAATAAATCCACAAAGTACAGAATTAAATAGTCATAAACAAACACTCAACAAAAGTTGCAAACTTTATATAACATATAAATATATCTATATACATCAACTTTGACTCACCACAAATTTGGACCCAAAACACACTGACCCAGCACACAAAGGAAGCTCTTCACTTCAACTCCTGATGAGAAACCAGCAGATACCCAATAAACAAAGAGAGGAATATTATTACCCAACTGCATTCGATTGGAATTGAAGAAGTGATGTAGGCCACCATGGGAGCACAAACGGAAGGGCCATCAAATGCGAAGCAGTACCATAAGAGTCAAGAAAGCATACTTCTTTCAAAGTTCTGCTCCTCATGTTGCAGAGTAGAATTCTACGATTAATATGTAGATATATAATGTCTCCATCAATGGAATGAATTGACACAAGAAAGAATCTTGGATCCATAGTAATCATGCAATGATCCAATTCCATCCTGACAAAATCAACATTGTGCACCAAGGACCATTCAAGCTCATTGTAGTCCTTAAGTTCCCAAATGCTGAGATTGGGAGGATAATATTGAATGAACCTCAGGTGTCCTTGGCACTCTCCTAAGAGATGTTGAAAGGGCTCAGGATAGCCATCCTCGGGCTGACTTATGGTACGAAATTGATCAGTGTTGTTGAATGGATCATAGGCAAAATTCTTGCCACGGTAAAGGTTCATCCAGTGGAGTATTCCGTTGCAAGCCACAACACGAGTAAGGTAGAAGCATGGACGAAAGTTCCGTCTGGGGTGGATATGATGGTTTCGGTCCATTTCCATTCATCTGACGAGAATATCTCCAATTTGAGATTGGTCGACCATGGGCCTGGATTGAACACGTGGATTCGAACTACTCTGAAGCTACTGGTGCAGCTAGGACAATCAGATGGTTTGCAAAGGAATCCAATGACAACCATTTCGTGGCAAGTGGGTGGTGAAGGAAGCTCAACCCAATGCATTGTGAGTGGGTTGCAGACATAGTAAATCTTCTGAAAAAATAAGGATGCTGAGCATAAGAGTAAGCCATTGCTGGATGCTAGGTGACGAATTGGCTCTGGTTGAATTCGATCTGGTGACGATGGTGATGGGTATGAAGAGGGAAGGAAGTTTAGAGAGAACCCAGGAGATTTAAAAATGGGTGATTTGGTTGTTAATTGGACAGCACATAGTCGATCACTGACTTGGTAGAAGAGGGCAAAAGGAGGCACCAAAGATGACCGATGGTGAACATAGCATCGAGCAAAATGAGGAGTGGAGATCAAAGCATACCAGTGTTTTGAAACGCACTTGCAGATATTGGTGAGTTTGAGAGGGACTCTTTGGAGAATTTCTTCGAACACTTGGTCGGGTAGTTTATCGAAGAGTGATTTTGTGGTAATGGAGAAGGTCGTTGAAGATTCGAACAATTTGCGTTTTCTGAAAGGTGGAGAGCTAAGCACCACCGTCGCCTCCACCGTATCTTCATCACCCATCTCCATTCTCTCTCTATTCAAATACTGTGACCGTGCGCAAGTTTTGTCTGACGAGTGGCCAATTTCTGTTATTTCAACATTCGGGTTATTTAAGCTTGCCCTCGATCTCTATTTCAATCATTCCCACATATATATATTTTAATTTTTTTAACTCCTCCTCTGCTGTTGGTATTTGGTAGTTATAGAACTTTTGCTATATATGTGTTCACTTGTTTTTTTTTTTGCGTGTAGAAAAATATATATATTTTTATTTTATGGTGTTTGGATGTCGATAAAATATGTAGGAAGAAAAAAAACTTACCCATCAATTTTCTATAAATTATTTTACATGCCTCCCTGATGGAAGAAACAAAGAGGACACAAAGAAAAGAAAAGAAAAAAAACACAACCCACCCCCCACACCAACCGACCAAATTAAGGAACAAAAGCCATGGTATCAAGCCGAGCAAGATCAACAATTCGGGATGGGATAGGAGACAACACCCGATCAACATCCGAACAGGCCCGCAATAAAATTGCAATAGCATAAGCCACTGGAGCGTCAAACATGATGCAAATAGGCCACTGCTCCACTTGAATATCAAAACAAATAGTCACAATCGTCGTCGGACAAACTGAGGCATCTGCCACCGCATCAACAATAACCTTAGCATCAGATTCAAAACAAACACATTGATAACCAAAAAAGGAGGCCCAAAAGATAGCACGTTGATAAGCAAGCGCTTCAACCATCATTGCCGACGAAGCAGCGAAAGGCCGAAACACTACTACATGAAGAATAGATCCTTAAAAATCGCGAAACACAGCACCCCCACTTCCACGGGACAACTCCTAAGAAAAACTAGCATCAAAATTACATTTAATCAACCCTTAGTTAGGAGGAACCCAACACACCGGAGAAGATGAAAAAATAGCCTTAGCCAATTGTTTACGTTGGAACTTAGCCTCCTCAAATTCCCAAAAGCTCGCTACAGCTTTTTCAACTACCATCCCTGGCCTCCATAACGTGATTTCAGGCTTTCCAAATACCCCATGCACAAAATGAAATCAAACCAAGAACAGCCGATTGATCCGACGAAGATACAACCCGAAACACCAAAAAAGGCCAACCATCCAAAAAAGAGTGGAAGAAGTCGAAAAGTCAAATCAAAGTGGAGACAACTTCCATACCTGAACAGAACGCGGGTGAGTAAACAAAAGATGCACAATCGATTCTTCCTCCAACATACACCGAGGGCATAAGGGAGAGTCCACACATCCCTTAACCAACAAAGACTATCCAGTAGGCAACGCATTATGACAACATCACCACAAGAAGTGCTAAATATTAGATAGAGTGTTACAACGCTATACCAATTACCAAGAGAAACTCACCGGTTGGGCAACCAAAGAATCAGGCAACAACAAAGCAAGATAATATGCAGATCAAACAAAAAATTTACCCATCCTCTCAGGCGCCTAAATAGGAATATCCGGTTTATCCCAATGGCTAACATGCAGCCATAAAATTTCCTAAACTTCAGACTGAGAAAAAAATTAATGCAAAACATCTACATTATTAGTCATAGTATGTGGATTAATCAAATCCACAACAAAATGGAAAGAAACCTCAAACCGTGGAGGCGGAAGCTTGAAGGGAAGCGCTTGAACCCAATGGTCATCCCAAATATGAATTGATTTACCATTTCCAACCACCCATCTCAAACCTCGACTCAGAAGGGGCTGGGTTGACCAAATACTATGCCATCCCCAAGACGAATTGGAACCTAGCGGGGCTTTTAAGAATGAACTCGAAGGGAAATATTTGGCCTTAAGCAAGGCAAAGGCCAAACCTTTCTGGCGCACTTCAAAATTCCACACATGCTTCGCCAGGAGCACTATATTAAACGCCTTAAGATCCCGAAACCTGAGACCCCCTCCCCCCCCTTTTTTTGCTCCTACATAAAGAATCCTAGTGAATCCAATGAATGTAGAGCTGTAAACGAGCAGAGTAATGGTGTGCTCGAGCTCGGCTCGGTCAGGTAAGAAGGGTGCTCGAGCTCGAGTTGAGTCTAAAAAATTCAGTTCGAGCTTGGCTCGGCTATGTTTAACAAGTTTCGAGCCGATAGCTCATTTATTTATTTATTTATTTTGCTGGTTGTACTTCGCATAGAAGTTCTAACGGATGGAACAAAAAAAAAAAAAGTTTGAGAGAGAAATAGATTTGCAGGCACTTCTTCGTCGATGGTTGGGGATCGGCACAGAAAAAGTACTTAGAGCCTTCGAAGCCTCTCAAGGTTAGGTTCAATGAACCAGCGAAGCACCAGACCAATGCTATTCCCATCAGCAATGGCTGTCTCGGGGCTATGATTTGGGGTGGCATCACTTTGTAGACTCTTTTTTGATGTAAAATAATAAATTAAGGAATATAAAATTTTCTAATGGAGAGAGACAAGAGACGGAGAGAGAGAAGAGAACAGAGAGAACATAATTTTTTTTTTTCTTTTTTAATGGTTGGGGATCGGCTCTGTTGATGGTCAACGATGGAGAGAGAGAACAGATGGAGGCGTATGGCTTATTATTCCATCAACCCTAAACATAAAAAGTGTTTATATACAAAGACAAGAAAGACGTATTTGCATAATAACCACAAACTCTATATATAATTACAATTGGACCCCAACATAAATACATATCTATATATAAATGTGCTACATATAATTACAATATAACCCTAATTTTTGTCTATATTATAATTGGGTATGTATATATATATTATAGTCGAGTATGTTCGCGAACGCCTTATCGAGCTCAGTTCATGAACGGTTCATGAACAAACGAGTTAAACCTATTGATGTTCAGGCTCGACTCGTTTATGAATCGAGCCTCATAATTTGGCTTGAGCTCGGTTCACTTATAAATGAACTGAGCTCGAGCCGAGTAATTAACGAGCCGAGCCCGAGTAGGTCGCGAACGGCTCGACTCGTTTGCAACCCTAAATTAATGGAACGAGATTTTTCTTTACTACACCACCAGAAAGATCGAATATGTTGCATTAACTCAAGACACAACGTACGAGGAATCTTAAAAGAAGACATCACATACGTAGGCAAGGAACTCAATACAGCTTTAATCAATATCTCTTTCCCACCAGTCGACAACATTTTGGCTTTCCATGAAGATAACCGCTCTTGCAACTTGGATAACAAGAACTGGAAAACATCTCATTTTGACTAACCTACTATAGTTGGCACAGCTAAATACTGACCATGCAATCCTTCCACTTGCAAGCCAAAGTATTGGCTAAGAAAACGGCGCCTATAAAATGGAGTGTTCTTTGAGAAAAATATAGACGATTTTGCAAAATTCACTTGTTTCCCAGACACCTTCTCGTAATCATACAAAATTCTTTTCAATAATCGGACTTCAGATTCCACTGTCGCACAAAAAATAATAGAATCGTTCCCAAAGAAAAGATAAGAAACTGAAGGAGCCATCCGGCAAATTTTTACGCTTGACAACAACCGTGCTTGCTGAGCTCGAAGAAAAGCCAGAGAGAGAACTTCAACACAAATAATAAAAAGGTACGAGGAGAGTGGGTCGCCCTGGCGCAATCCCCGAGTGGGCTGAAAAAAGCCAATAGAATTCCTATTAATTTTCAGGGAGTAGGAAACTGTAAAGACACAAGCCAAAATCATCTTAATTAGGGGTGGCAATTCGTGTTGACGTGTCGTGTTCGTGTCGACACGATTACGACACGGACACGATTATTAATCGTGTCTAAGACCCTTGACACGAACACAACACGATTATTATACGTGTAACACGACACGACACGCATAACCTGTTTAATAAATAGGTCAAGACTTGACATGACACGAAAAGACACGTTTAAGTCATTTTTGACACGAATACAACATATTTATTCTACACGTTTTGCTAAATAGGTCATTTTTGACATGAACACGACACGTTTGTCTGACATGTTTAGTTAATCGGGTTAATCGTGTCATAATCGTGTTTATAGGGTCAAACACGAACACGACATGTTTAGTTAGCAGGTCAATCCGTCTCGACACGATTATAACACGAACACGATTAGCCCCAACTCAAACCCGCTTATCTCGTGTCGTGTTAGCGGTGTCGTGTCAAATATTGCCACCCCTAATCTTAATCCAATGAGAATTCATCCCTAACCACTGCAACATTTGAAACAAAAACTCCCATTCTACCCTGTCATAAGCTTTACTCATGTCGAGTTTCAGCGCCAAAAAAGCTTTCCACCCTTTTCGCTTATTTTTGAAATAATGCAGGATCTCATGAGCAATGAGAATATTATCTATGATATGTCTGCCTGCAACAAAAGCACTTTGGGACTCATTGCTAAGGGATCTAATAGTCCTTTTCAATCTGTTAGTCATAACCTTAGCAATGATTCGATAAGAAACGTTACACAACGAGATAGGCCTATAGTGGAATACAAGAGTAGGAGACTGAATTTTTGGAATCAACATAATGTTAGTATGGTTAAAACTTGATAACAAATTCTCAGATTAAAAAAAACTAGATATAGCATGAACAATATCAATTTTAATTACCTCCCAATAGTGTTGATAAAAAAACGGCGTCATTCCATCAGGTCTTGAGGCTTTCATTGGGGCCATAGGAACACAGCCTGCTTCACTTCTAATTCGGATGGGGCCGCAAGAAAAATCGAGTTCGTCTCCTCAAAAATTCGACCAGGAACATGACGCAAGAATTGATTAATATTTGGAGGGTGTTGAGATTGAAATAAATTATGAAAATAGCTCGGGAAGACCTCATGAACCAGCTCCTCCTCAGCAACCCACTTGTTCTTGGCATTATAAACAACCGAGATCATATTCTGGGCTCTTCTCCTTCTAGTAGTTGCATGGAAAAATTTTGTATTCCGATCCCTGTCTTACAACCATTGAACACGAGATTTCTGTTTCCAAAAAATCTCTTCCGCCAACCAACAAGAACTTAAAAGTTTTTCAACCTAAACAACCTCGGTATGCTGATAATTAGAAATTCGAGCTTGAAGTTGCCGCAGACGTCGTTCCACTCTATCAATTTGAATTCGTGAATTTGACTTTTTAACTTTAGCTTAATGTATGAGATCAGCTTTGCATTGACGTAATTTTTGAGCCCACCGAAATTGACAAGAGCCACGAACCGGAGTAGACCAAGCAACATCAATAATTGGAACACATTCATCATTCAATGTCCAACGGGCATTAAAATGAAACTGTCTTTTCTACGGTTGAAACACAAGTTGAAGTTCTAAAAATAAGGCATAATGATCAAAGCCCAATACTGGTAGGTGTGATAATTTAGCTTTAGGGAAGGAAAAGAACCAATCTTTTGTCGTTATTGCCCAGTACAGTCTCTCTTTAATATGTGCCTACTCATCTCGCTGATTAGACCATGTATAACATAACCAAGAACCAATAAATTACACCGTTCCAACAAAGATCGGAAAGACTTAAGCTGCCAACCCTGTTTAACCCGCCCTCCACACTTTTCCAAGACATGGAGAATATCA